AAGGGAATTCTTGGAAGCTTGATATTCAGACAAGGCAGCCATCAACAGGCACATAGAGATATGTGAACTTTTGAACTATTCAAAAGAGACAATAGAAAAGAAAACAAAAGACCGGAACATCTCCTCACCAGCAATCATCACCCAGATAAGCAGAGGTTACCACCAGGCACACAATCAAGCAGTGACAAAATCAAGGAACTACCAGAGGGACACAACAAAACTCCAGCCCCACCCACACTGGCAGGGCATGCCACAGCATATAAACAGAGAGCAAACCCCATCCCATTCTAGCACTGAAGATGTTACCTAGCTGGATAATGAAATGTTTGCAAGAAAAGAACCAAGCTCAGAGAACTGCAAAGACTCCACAGTTCAACCCTGAGCTACACATATTCGCCTCTGTTGAATTTTGAGGCTCCTATGACAATAGCTTGTTAGGCCAGCTTGCTTTAGTTATCATATAGTAACTTTCAGATATACTTAGCAAAGTGTGAGTGTTTTTTCAGAATTCAGTAACTATATTTTATTAGTTAACCATTGTATTTCTCTTACTCTAGCGATACCCCCACTATCCATCCAACCTCAGACTTGTTCCATTGTGATGGCAGCAGGTAAGGAACTTGATCTTAGATCAAGACTAAATAATATTAACATTACAAGGATTAGTGTAGTGTACAGTATAGTGCTGAATTAATAGTGTATATTGCTGAATAAGGAAAGATTTTAAATGATGATCTACTGCTTAATATCAGGACAATACTTCTGATATTAGGGAAAATACAATTTTTAAATGTACAGAAGTATTCTGAAATTGTTGAAAATATTCTTTCTGTTTTCCTGTTCTTGAGCAAAGATTCAGAAAGGTATATAATCAAAAAGGTGTGTTTAACCTGTCTGAGGGACAAATCAGTGTCTAGATTGTATATTTATAGTGGCCTTATGGATTTGGTTGGAATTGTATCTTTCATACTAAATGTTAGCAAAAGAAGGCATTTTCTTGTAGGATTGTACAAAAGTATTGTAAATGTACTTTTCTCTTACTCACATCTGGCTTCTACTCCCTAAATATTAATATGGAAGATGGTAGTCTTTCAGTTTTCATGATGAGATGATGTCTGAATTTTCACACTGTGGAATATTGGCCTAGTGTCCTGTCCTTGAATGTGGTATGTGAAACCAGTCAGATTAGTGGAACAGAATAAATGATTAACTTGGAACCCTTCAGTCAGCTCTAGAGGGGCATCCTGAAATAGAACTGAGGGAGGACAATAGGGACTTGGAGAGGATAAAGTCTCACTAGAAAATGGACTTCATTTGCACAATGTTAGATTTCATCTGTCTGGTTGGTATTAATATAACTAAAATAGAGGCTATTAGGATTCTGTCTTATACACTATAGTCAATACTATAAGGAGCTCTTAATTTTAAAGCAGATCTTTCCACTGTAGCCATGAATACCAATCTACTTGCTTTTGTTTAGGTATACTATTATTTGATAACCCTAAAGGGGAAAAGCTCCTATTTTATAAAAAGCACTTACATCTAGTTTCTCTGAAGGCATTCTTGTTTTCCACAAATGATCAGATAAAAAGTTATATACAATAGTTACATGCTACATACAAATGAAAATAATTCTCAGTCAATTGCTGAAAGACGTTCAGATGGAAGTTCTCATTTCAATCTTGGGCAATGTTAGATTTCAGGGTTTAGTGACCATGGTCTGGAGAACAAATTTCCTGACATTTTGCCAGCAACTGTGGCTGGCATCTTCAGAGGCAAAGTGATCTGCTATGTAGATCACAGGCAACTGAGTAGGTAACAACATCAAACTGTTACATACACCTGCACAGAGAAGCTATTGAGATCCACAAACATCCCAAAAGCTTCAACAACAAAGAAGAAAGTCTGAAAATTAACAAAGCCTGGTTACCTGCCTATGCCACACCAAGATCCTGCCCCAAAACAGGACCAACCAGGAATCAGCTCCCAAAAATGGGCAAATCAGAAACTTGCCTGGACAAGGACCCAATCAAGACTCAGCTGCTTAGACTAACCCACCATAACCCAGCACAAACCAAGAACCAATCAGGAACCAGCACTGCAAAAATGACCAATCAGAAGCTGGCATGAACAAAGGACCAATCAGGAACCAACACCACCAAAACAGTCAGGATTGGACACAAAGAACCAATCAGAGACCAACCCTCACCAGCGTGCACCAATCAGAAACCAGCTTGGCCAAAGGCCAATCAGAAATCAAGACACATGGTTATAAAGAGGAGCCCAGTCAGCTCCTGTTCAGTTGCCTGTAGTTTATGTGGTAGGTTACTTTGTCTCTGAAGATACCAGCTGCTGGTAAAATGTCAGGAAACCTGTTCTCTAGACCATGGTCACTCAGCCCTGAAGCCCAATACTGCTCAACAGATACTGGTGTGAAAGCCTACACCTGTATATTCTCAGTTCACCTTGCAGCATGCCATGACTATGGTGTAATTGTTTTTATTAGAGTCTAGCCAATAAACCTGTATCCATGTGATCAAAGATTTGGTGTACTTATTTTACTACTTGTCTGTAATGTTTTAAAATTCTTCAATCTGTTATTGTCCAACAGAATTGGACTACAGTTTCCATCATTCCCCAGCTCACTGGAGTTGAGCCTGTCATTATTCTCCTTATGATTGACTAGGCAAACTTATTTTTCATAAATTGGGTTTGGATGTTTGTTTTCTTTGGCCTTTGACTACAAGATTGGAAAGGATGAAATAGGTGCAATTGCCTGCTTTCTTTAGATATGTCAGGGTAATACTTTTTATTATTTGGAAATGTAATGTCAATAGAAGATAAAAAATGCAACCTAGGGGGACCTATTGCAATACTTAAAAGAACAAGTCTTTGTTATTGAATAGGAACTTTTCATTGAAAATGAAGGAATATATGATATATAGAGTTCTACTGGGTGGGGAAGAGGACAGGTTTTTGTTTTAATTTTTAACTTAATACATGCATGCCTCTGGGTGTGGTAAGTTAACAATACAGTGAGTTTGCAGAACTTTCCCAACAAATTCAACTGCAGTGATACCATGATGATTAACAGGACTGAATTAATGCAATTAATTTTTTCTTATTACATAATAAGTATTAGCTGTTGGAAAGCATAAAGGTAAGTATATAATGAAGCTTTATTAAAAGCTTTATTAAAAGCTACAAACAGATTTTCCTCAGACTAAAATTTTTTTGCATGCTTTTACCACAACCTGATGAAAGAACTATGTATTGTTGTTTATTTTGTACTTTACTGGCAATGGAATAATTACCATGAGCAAGTGGACTACCTGATTACACCCATTTTGTTCCTTCTGCCAGCAGGGACTGTTAAACACAAAGAAATGCCACCTGTAATTTATGGACTGTTTGATTCAAATTGGGATCTTTCTCCTTTTGTTTCTTTAAGTAGGTAGAATCTGAAACCAGTCTTTCTTTTGGCCCTGAAAATCTAGCATATTAGGAAAGCAGCAATTTAGATATCATAGTTGAAGCACTCAACTAATTTTGGTAGAGGTTCTGAAGAATTCTGGCTTAGTCTCTTATTTAAGCTAAACTCTGCGAAAACACACGAAAGCCAGTTTGATGCTATATTGTAGAGATAGTTGCTTGAACAGTACAGTGCCTATTTTATAAAAATATTTTTTTCAGAAAAAGCTTGATAAACAGGAAGAATCTTTTCATGTAATAGTTAGCTGAGAATAAGAACACATTGTGTTCCTTGTCTTCATTTACTGACTTGGTTGAAAATAAATTTATTTAAATGTCTTTCTATTTAATAAATATAGAAAGAAGTAATATATCCTGATTTGGGAACTTTGCTGCCAATGTATACTGCAAGTAGTAATCTTCTGATTTTGTCTTCACCAGCATTGTCATGCAATTAAATCTGACCTTTAGAACTGAACTTTGGTGAGGAATGGGTATCTGGTTAGAGTTGGGAATGTACATAAATATACAGAACATGCCTGAAATAGTATGTTTGCTAATATCAGCATAGAACTGGAGCTTTGGCTTTTAAATAACTTTTGTGAATGTAATTTGCTGCAGCTTAACCCATGCCTTTTTAGCCATATAGGGACTAACATTGATTTGAGTATATTTCATTGTCATGTTCAGAAGCAATTTTGCTTAGATATAAGAAATTTTAAAAATGACGCAAACCAGCAACATAAGGAACATGTTCAATATCAAATGTCAAAATCAGTTCTAAAGGAATGAAAACTTTGTGAATGTTTTTCAACTTTGAGTCAGCCTAATGAAAAGGCCTTAATAAGGGATTGTTTTTTCTAGTACCCTTCCTTCCATGGGACGAATCACATCAGAGCCACCATTTAGGCAAGAAAATGTAGTTTGGTTGATTTCACAGAAGCTTATTTTACTTCAAAAACTTGGCTAAAATTTCTCCAAGCCTGTCTGGTGGCAAATCTTGCCTAGCATTGTTCCATTTCTCCTGGCTCAATTCTGTCTCAGTGATAGTGGCTGATACAGAAAAAGAATCTTGTTTAAACAACTATTTGTCTCATTCACAACTGGAAGTCTTCCTCATTCAGGGTTTTTGACCTTCTTTGTTTACTTAGACAATCCCTCCCAACATGGACAAGAAATGACATCAGCAGTGTTTCTGGCACTGCAGCAGCCATTCCATTCATTGGCTACCTACTCTCCCCAGCTGCTTTGTTTCATCCCAGTTTTCCTGGAACCCCTTTAAATTCTGTGCCATCCTGGCCACTTTACTTGCTAAGCTTCAGCAGTGGTTAACTGCTGGCATCAGGTTTGTCATCAAGCAGTGGGTATCCTCCCATCTTACTGCTCCACTTAATTCATGCAACCTTCAGATAGAAGGTTTTGGATTTCAGCGAAAATACCATTGTATGGATATCACACCTTATTTCTATATTTTCACAAACACAGCAAATGCTGATCCCAAATGCTGTGGAAATGTAGTGGTTTTTTAAAATGGTATTTTCATATTTAATATAGTCTAAAAGTTTATTTTCTCTGTATAGAAAATTCAAACCAGAAGTGGGGGAATGACATAAAATTGTTAATCAATTGGTAACTTAAAAGGAATATTTACTTTCAGGTACTTATTTACCATTGACTCCAATTAATTAAGAATTTAGGCATCTCATTTTGAAATGCTGTGGACAGTTTTTTAAATAAAATATTCAAGATGTGATATTTTTTTTGAACATAATTGTTTATATGTAATGCTTTGTAACTTACGTGTTGCCTCTGTTTATTGTAAGAGTCTTTTAAAGGATTGGGTTTCCTGCAGAATGATGGTCTTTACAGAACATTATTATGATCTGGAATATTGCAATTCCAATATAGATGTCTATCTACACTGTGCTTAGATATAAGTACATTCCACATTAAAATATGAAATACTAATTATCTCTAATTATCCACTTATGCTGTATTAAAATAGAAGCTGATTCAAAGGGTTATTTGATCAATTTTGGAGGTTTCTTGTGTGTGTGTGTCTGTCTACATTATATGTTAAAGTTCTGGGTTTTTTTTTCTAAAGTATATTTATTTATATTTATATTTATTCAATCTTTAT